TAAACCAGAGAGTAAACCAGAGAATAAACCAGAGAGTAAACCAATCTACGCCGATCTACAACATGATTCTCCCTCGAAAAAAACAAACCAGCTCTCAGAATCACAAGGTTGAGGCTCGTGCTGGTTCGTTGCGGCGATAATAAAATAAGACCCTCAGATGTTAAATGAGCAGGAAGAACGGGCGTCATGTGTTCGCTTCAGTTATGACCGCCTCCCTATCTCCCCCTGCAGCTGGACCTCCCTCCCCTCCACCCCCCTCCCTCTACTGGTCACCACTTGGCCATCGGTGTTCATCCAGTGACAAATGGCTTCGAGCCAAAAGTCCATCATCAATCACGGCGAGGAGATAAAAATGAAAATGGCATAATATGCATATTAAGGGCTGAAAGTGTCACCAAACCTCTCTGACTTTGTCACAATGTGTCTTCTTCATGCAGAGAGAAGTCGTTAGAGTCAGACCCGACTGTCCAATCAGGACCGTGTGTGCGTCACACTGACAACAGGCTCAACTTATTGGATAGGCAGAAATAAAGTGTCATATTTTGACAGTCATTTACATCCACTGATATGACGAGGGGCCTCAGGTTTGGATTTGAGTGGATTTGCAGTAAAACATGTCTTTTCTCTTGAGGGACATGTTATTTGACTCTTCTGCTCCACTACATTACTACTTTTTAAATTAAATCCAACTGAAAAAAATATGTTTTGATCCATTTGTTGCAATTAAATCACAGCAAAATCTGTTTATTTTGGGTTCATACAGCCGTAGTAAGATACAATGAATAAAGATCAGTGAAATTCGCTTTGTATTTGTACAAAGTATAAAGTACACATTTGACACCCTTTTAGCTTATTTTTCGTATTTACTTTAAGAACTACGTTTAATATGCTACCACACATGACCCCCTTTGTTAATCGGGGGCATCTTCCCCGACGTACATGTGGAATATTTGAACACAATAGACACGTTGTTTTGGAAATATTATATCATATGCACTCTGCTATATTAGCTGTTTCAAAAACAAAGAATCAGTTTCCGGTGAATTTGTCCATCGACATCCCAAGCTGCCACACTTCTCCACCCATTCCTCAAAAAGGCATTTGAAGGTAGTGTCACATGTGTGTGAGAAAGGCTAATCTCCAAAGAAATAAATGTAGCAGAGGGATTTCACTGCTGCAGGCACCCGGGGCCACGCTCAGAAAAGAGGGAGAGAGTACCGCTTGTAAGGATTGTTTCCAAGAGCAGCCGGGGCTATACGAGTTTTAAGAGAGATATAGAAGCCTTTGTTGTATCAGGAATCAGCTTTTGGAGAAAAGGCACGAGAGGCCTTATGAGAGCAGAATCAGAAGAGATTTTGGCCTTTGAAGAGACCGGCCGAAGCCAGAAGAGCGACGAGAGATAGAGGCCTTTGTCGTCGGCGGGTGGGGGGGTGAAGCCATCGTAAGTGACAGGGCTATTACATTGTGGTGAAAGGGGGGAGAAATGGAGTGAGAAACGAGGGGGGAGTGGACAGATGGCTTTGTGGGTCTGCAGGGAGTCACGACTGAGCTGCAGTCTGCCAACGCTGCTCCGGTACTGCTGTGTCTCCTCTACCGTGAACGGACTCTAAATAGTGAATCATGCTGAGGTCCAGAGTCTAAGGGAGACCCCCCTCCACACACACACCAACAAGCAGGACTGACTGACGAGCCGTAATCATTCAGATCCCAGAGGTGGGTTTTATTGGTGAGCCTACTGAATTTAAATACACCAATAAACGAGGATAGGTGGCATTTGGATGTCAGTATTAAGCATCATAAGCCTACTAACACTTATGATGATTAAAAAAACATAAATTGCAGGTGTGGATTGTTGTCATCCACACCTGTTATAGCCTGTGACTATTATTATAATACATATACAGTACATGCCATTAAACAGCTAAAGAAGAGGACACAACGAGATGCATTAAAAGAGCTACTGTCAAAGCTTGAACAATGGAAAACCATGTCGAGGACACAATGGGAATAAGACTTTGAAAATGCTCATAAAGAACCCAGATGCATAGAAACACTAGTTTCTAGTAAATGCATGATTAGTGAAAAACTAAAAGCTACACAAACCTGAGGTTGGTAACAAATTCAATACTTTTACTCTTATTCAAGTAGTTATTTTTGATGATTCCTTGAAGTTTTACTTGAGGACTTTTGCAAAATAAGTACTTTTACTTGAGTACAGTTGTTGGTTATACCACTGATTCAGACAGCTTTATGGACAGAGCATCGCTAAGAGCTGGCTAACAATGTTAAGAGTTGATTAACATCGCTAACACTCGGCTAAC